CGCCACCTTCGTCGACAGCCAGTGAAGTCTCCTCCTCGACCAGCTCCATCCAACAAGACACCACCCATTTCGGGTTCCAAAAAGTCCCTGTGGGGGACAAGGAGAAACTGGTCAAGACCGTCTTCGACAGTGTGGCGGGGAAGTATGATGTGATGAACGACCTCATGTCCGGGGGCCTCCACCGTCTGTGGAAGGACGACTTTGTGAGCAGCGCCGGATTGCCCGCCGTGCTCCGGGCCCAGGGCGGGGGGAAAGACATCCGCCTCCTGGACGTGGCAGGCGGCACGGGCGACATTGCCTTCCGACTCATGAAGACAGCCTTGGGCGTCGACGCCGGTGCCAGGCTCCCTGCCATCACTGTCTTTGACATCAACGCGGAAATGTTGAAGGTGGGGAGGGCCCGGGCGGAGGAAGAGGTCTTTCCCACCCAGGCGCCTGTGCGGGCCTGCATGGAGTGGGTGGAGGGGAATGCCGAAGCTTTGCCGTTTCCCGACGACACCTTTGATTTGTACACGATCGCTTTTGGGCTCCGAAACGTGACGCGTCGGGCCCAGGCATTGGCGGAGGCGCGCCGGGTCTTAAAGCGCGGGGGCCGGTTTATGTGCCTAGAATTCTCGCACGTCTCCCTCCCCCTCGTGAAGGACGCCTACGACCTGTACTCCTTCCAGATCATTCCTCGGATGGGCCAGGCCGTGACGGGCGATGCGGAGGCCTACCGATACCTGGTCGAGTCCATCCGGCAATTCCCCCGGCAGGAGGTATTGCTTCGGGAGGTGGAAGAGGCAGGCTTTGGGAGCGTGTCCTTTGTCAATTACAGCCTAGGCAGCGTCGCCGTCCACTCAGGGTTCAAGTGGGGGTAGGGTGGGGAAAAGGGGGACAAGCAGGAGGGGAGGAAGGGAGGGGGGAGGGAGGCAATGTAACGGTCCTGCGATCCGGTCAACGGGCGACAACGGCCACGAACAAAATTTTGATGTTGACTTCGTTATCCTGCGAATGGCATTTTTCCCATTTCTCCCCTCTTTCGAATGCCCGGGTCTCTTTGCTCGAACGTCGTCCCTGCCATACCTCTGGCTTCCTCACATCAACACAACCTCCTCCTCCTCCTCCTCCCTCCTCGCCCCACCTGCGCCCTCTGTCTTCGGTTCTGCCACCCGGTGGTCTCGGGCCTTGTCCTCGTCGGTCTGTCGGAGCTCATGGCTGACACGGAAGGTGTTCATTTCGGCATTTTTTTCCATGTTCCGCCATCTCCTCTCTCCCTCCTCCTCCTCCTCCTCGTCCTCCCCCTCGTCCTCCCCTTCCTCCTCCCTCCTCTCCCTAACCTTCCCTCCGTCCAGGAGGTCCGGCTCTTCCCCTCCTTTTCCTTCCCCTTCCATCCCCATCACCTCTTGCAATGCCTCATACAACGGCTCGGCAGCCGTTGGCGGGGCCATGTCTCCGTTTAACAGTTCCCGGACCGTTACCGACCGTTTCCCGTAAAATTTTTCGTTCACGCGGTCCCGGGAAAACAAAAGGGTCCCCTCCACCGACACCCCCACGAACGCCCCCCTGCTCTGTCCGTAGCAAAATCCCGCTTCCAGCCTCCCCCCCTCCTTCCCTCCCTCCCTTCCCCCCCGGTAATGCACCTCGGAGGCCGCGGTCCTTCCTGAGGGCCCCACGGCGATGCTGACTTCGGTGCTTGCGGAGATTTGGGACCGGCGGGTGAAGGTCTGCACGGCTTCGTGCGACATGAGGAAGAGGAGGAGGTCGGTCTGGAAGGGGGACAGGCAGGGAGGGAGGGAGGGAGGGAGGGAG